TCAGCCCCCCCCGCAGGCCCCAGCACCCAGCAGCAATGGTCCCTGTGGAATCGTTGTCCCCACCATGGAGCACCCCCCTGGCACACAGGTCCTCCCAGCACCCTCCAGCTGCCAGCAGGGCCTCCAGGGCCACCATGGGGGCGTCGTGGCCACTGCGCCCTGCCCACCCCTGCAGTGCCCAGCCCAGGTATGCTGTGTCCCTCTCGGCTGGGGATGGGAGGGATGGCACCTGTGGAGGGCCATGACCTTCCAGAAGACCACGGGAGTCCAGGTACCTGCAGGGGACATGGGGACACTGAGGTCACTGGGGATATTGGTGTCACCAGGGACATGGGGCTATTGGGGTCAGCAGGGTCACTGGAGATGTGGGGAGTCACCCAGGACACTGATGTCACTGGGGACACTGGTGTCACCAGAGACAATGGGGTAACCAGTGACACTGGGTATCACTGTGCTATGGCTCTCCAGCAGCCCCTGTGACTCCAGGGACCTGTGGGGACACTGGGGACAACTGAGACACCTGAGGGCATCATGGCCCTGGACACAGTGGGGACACAAGTAACACCAGGGAAACACAGAGCCACAGGAACCCCAGGGACATGGAGGTCAGTGTCCATGAGGATGGAACCACTGGTGGGGACATGGGGGCACCAGGGACAGGATGGACACTGCTGGCCCTGTGGACAGACTGGGCATCAGGGTCAGCAGTGACATCAGTGTGATGTGCTGCCAGGAGTGGGAGAGAGCCTGGCAGGCACCAGTGACACCAATGACTCCCTGGCCCCCCTCCCAGTATCCTCCCCAACCCCTCCCTGTGCTCCCAGTACATCCCCAGGACCCTCTCAGTGCCCCCTCACCTTTGCCAGGCCTCCCCAAAGAATGGCCAGGCAGCAGCATTGTCCTCCACAGCCACCCCAGTGCTCTTCACGTAGTCCCGCGCCAGGGGCAGGACCCGCAGCAGCTCAGCCCCCCAGCGCTCTGGGGGCTCCCCCCGAGCCCCCAGTGCCCCAAAGAGGGCCACTGCCAGCGCCCCGAGGTACCCTGAGGGGACAGGGGTTTCAGGGGGGTTCTGGTGTCCCCTCCCTCCCTGCCCCCGGGGTTTCTGGTGTCCCCCCCCTCCCTGCCCCCCCAGGCTGGCACCCACCAGTGGGGTGGTGGTGGGTCATGCGCCCGCTCTCGATGCTCACCCGGATCAGCGTTGGCAGCTCCCAGGTGTGTGGGTACCTGCACTGGCAACACAACAGTCCCCACCCCCGTGGTCCTATATCCCCATTCCACCACCCTTGTCCCTGCTGTCCTTGTCCCTGCTGTCCTCGTCCCTGTGTCCATTCCCCCTCTCATCTGCCCTGTGACCCGTGTCTCCTCCTCCCTATTGCTGTCCCAACCCAAACCAAACCCCCACACATTCCACTCCCTCCACCATTTGCTAGCCCCATGTCCTCTGTCCCCATTCCTCCATCCCCACTGTTCCCAACCTCCCACCTGGTCCCCACTGCCCAGCTCTGACATCCTGTGTCCCCATTCCATCCCTGTCCCCACCCTGTTCCATGTCCCCAGCTCCGATACCTCCATCCCCATGTGTCCCCATGTCCCAGCTCTGATCCCTGCATCCTCATTTGTCCCCATGTCCCAGCTCTGATCCCTCCATCCCCCCATGTCCCCATTTCCCAATTCTGATCCTTCTATGCCCCCATGTCCCCATCTCCCATCTCTGATCCTTCTATCCCCCCATGTCCCAGCTCTGATCCCTCCACCCCCCATGTCCCCATGTCCCAGCTCTCCATCCCCCTGTCCCCCCGTGCCCACCTGAGGCCGATGGCCAGGCTGCGCATGGCAGCCCCACAGCCGGTGCCACCGGGGGTGAAGGGGATGCGATAGCCCTCAGGCTCCCCTGGCCGCAGCTGTGAGGTGCCTGTGGAAGGTGTGG